CTTCCTGAGCCAGCCCTCCTCCATCCCCTGCAATTACCGCCAGGCTCTCGTGGTCCTCTCCAAAAAGTCCATTTCCTGCGCACGCACGGAAGAAGTCGTCTCATTAATGACACCCTCGGAGCGCCTCGCTCGGTTTTGGTCTCAAAGTGAAATGACGCTCGTCCGTCGCCGGCCTGCTAATTACACTCTGACACGTCGCTGACAAGGACGCCGAGTGACAAGCGCCCTTTTAGAGCGGCCCGCTCGCGTCAAATGATTTCTCTCGGAATACTCTGCGAAGAGAGAGAAAAAAAAAAAAAGAGTCATCAAGGCCACGGATCGTCCTCTAAAACGTCCTCTTTTAACATCTTTGTGTTAAAAATATATTAGTTCACCAATTACATGAAAGGAACATGGAGGCGCGGGGACTTTCCCGTTGTGGTTTTTTTTGCCAGTTTTACTTAGCAAGTATGGTAAAATTATCATGAGTAGAACCACAAAAAAAAAAAAAAAAAAAAGAAAATCCAAAAGTGGGCTTGTTTCTTTGAATGAGACTTTGAAAATTTCGACCTCTCGGCCTGTTTTACTCAACAAAATAAGGCTTAGTAGACATTGTCAATAGTGAGTAGGCCAACAAAACAGTCTCAAGAAGTCATCCAAGAAAAGACACGGGACGGCTGCCGTTTTGTTTCGAAGCCGCCATTTTGAATTTTCCATTCCTCTTTCAAGCACAATCTCCTCCTTGAAATTTTTGTCACATTCAGCCACTTGACCCAGTCTCATTTGGCAGCATGAAATTAAGTAGACATGACTTTCATGAGTAGACCCACAAAAAAGGAGAATCCTTGTCTGAAAATACAAAGGAAGTCGGCCATCTGGGGTCAATTTTTGGCCATTTTCAAAAACACAAGCACCAAGAGAGCTTTTGAAAATCCAAGGGCTCATCCAGAGGTTCAAAAAATCCTCAAGAAGCCCTGACTAGGACAATGCAGGAATTTTACCATTTTTTTGAGTCGTTTTGGTTGTTTCAAGGTCAGGTGTCCTTCAATGACAAACACTTCACAGATAATGATAATTCAGTTCCGAAAGCAGGTTCCCCTTATCAACATGAAATTAGGCGCATGTCAATCACAAGGAGAACCACAAAAAAAATCTAAGGAAACCATGTCTAAAAAGGAAGTCAGCCTTTATGGTTTGAAGTGCGCCTTTTAGGGTTATTTCCCGAGAGTCTTCAAAGTACAAACTCTACCAAAGGAAGTTTTTCAAATTCTGTTTCACGAAGCAACAAGATATTTCAAGACATGTCCATCATGAGTGGACCCACAAAAAAGTCTCAGGAAGCCATGCTTGAAAAGAGACGTGACGGATGATACAGGTGCGGGAAGTCGGCCATTTTGGTTTGAAGCTCACATTTCGTCTTGCGGTTTCATTAAACGTGAAATCAATTTCATTTTGCGGGAAACGGCAGCTTATTTGGGCAAAAAAATGACTTCAGCTGGACAGCCTCTGTATCTACACACATGTAAAAATGAAGACAAGAGAGATGATATGACCTAGTCGTGCATTTGTTAAAGTCACTTTGAACTGATTGATTTTCATTAATGAGGCTTCCCGCGACTTTCAAGTTTGGACGATGCGTTCAAGGACGTTATCGTTCAGCTGACTCACACACGCTCGCACACACACAAACACACACACACACACACACACACACACACACACATCCACGCACTAGTTACTATCGCGCATGCTGAGGCTAGCGTAGCGCTGAGCAGTATGGCTAGCACCATCAGACCATGTGCTCGGGTGTTAATCACACCTATGTGCATTAGCGCCTCTCTCGCTCTCTCACACGCACACGCACACACACACACACACACACACACACGCGCACACACATACATGCTTATATTGGAAGTGATAGGCCTTTTTATTCCCAAACAACATTCTAAAAGAGGATAGGAGCACCCCCTCCAACCTGCACACAGCCTTAAAACTTAACCAAAACGTGACAAAATACTATTCAATTTGGATTAAGATGAATGAGTATATTTAATGGCGGTGCAGGGGGGTGCGCACGTCACACATCGGAAATCCTTGGTTTAGGGGAAAAAAAGAATAATAAATAAAGCCTCTCTGTTGCTAAAATCGAAGGAGTGTGTGTGCCTTACACACCGTGATTGATGAGTTCTCCTCGCTTTCCGAATTTTTTAAGATACGCAGCACCTTCTACATTGCCAAGGAGTAGGTGCACCCCCCTCCCACCCCCAAGTACAGACTTTAAAAATGACAAGATATAAAAAAGTAATGCACACAGACAATGGCAGGCGCACCTTAAAATCCGCCTCACACATCGCACAAAATGTCACAGTACATAAATTTGACAGACCGACGCATTGCCAAGGAGTAGGTGCACCCCACCACCCCCAAGTACAGACTTTAAAAATGACAAGATATAAAAAAGTAACGCACACAGACAATGGCAGGCTCACCTTAAAATCCGCCTCACACATCGCACAAAATGTCACAGTACATAAATTTGACAGACCGACAGAGGGGGTGCGCGCATCACTCTTTCATAACGCGTGGTTTAGGATGTGACATACCATACTTTTCCAAACTTTTTAACCCACGCACCTTTGATAGACATTAAAAGAGGACCATGCTTCATACAAGTCTCATCCAAAATTATTTAACACACCCTGGTTGGAGATCATATTAAAGTAAGCCCACCGCCTGCCCCCCCAGACATCCTAAAAAAAAAAAAAACAGCAAGACAAAACACGTAATCAACGGGAAGAATTTTGTCTTGTTGCCTGGATGATTGGAATCGCAAAAGAACTGGCGCACCCCCTCTTCCCTGCATGCACCCTGAAAAAAAATATCCAAATCAAACCCATTGACATCACCTTCCATCATGCCAGCATGAAATCAATCACACCCAAGGAGCGAACCAAAGGAGGGTGGTGCGCACCACTCTTGGAGAATCAAGTGCCTTTCCGCTGCGAAATTGACCCGTTTTGGTTGTGGAAGCCTTTATGCTATATGATATCTGATCTATACAGTACATGGACTCGACATGAGAGGACGTTTCAGATTCAATTTCACAGGCCGACAACGACTTTCATTTACATTTACACTAGCCATTGGTCACGCACACGCACGCGCGCATACACTTGCGGGCTTCGTTGTACTTAAGCTACACAGCAGTCCCAAAGCCCTCTACTGCCCTCCAGTGGCCAGTCAGTAGTCAAGTATCACCGCTACACTGGCAGCTTTACAGAAACTTGTTTTTACAGGTGGAAAAAAAGAATCTAGACCGCTACCGATTCACCGATCGACTACTAATCAATCTGTGTCCGCTTATTAATCGTTCTTATTTATCCAGATACTTTTGTCCACGTAGCGCAGAGTGAATTTGGTTGACCGTGCAGCGCTAGGTGGGTGCACATCACGCTTGAGCGTGTCCGCGCGTGTTTGTGCGCGTGTGCATTCGAGCGAGTTTACTGGGGGGGTGTAGATTGGCATGCAGCGAGAGTGCAGCAGTGCGAGACAAAGCGCGCACACACGCACACGCACACTCACACACACAAATGGGGATGGAGGTGTGTGCGCGACATAGGAATGAGAGATGAAGGCAAAAATTTAAATTCAGGTATTTTTCTGGTGTGTGTGTGTGTGTGTGTGTGTGTGTGTGTGTGTGTGTGTGTGTGTGTGTGTTTGTACTGTGAATTTCATATTAGAAGGCGTCATTACTCCCCATAGACAAGGAAAGGAAATAGGAAAAAAAATCATTTTAAGATACGCACCCCTCTTCAACCTCCTGACTGACTTGGCGCACACCCTCTCATAGGCATCAAATGATATTCAAAATATGGCAATGGAAGTGGTTATTTAAATTTGGGACTCCTAAATTTAAATCTGCCTTTCCTTTCTAACCTGCTTTATAATCCCAACTGACTTTGCGCACCTCCCCTCCTATGCGCCTAACCTCAAATGAACTATTTTAATGTGTGATTTTAATCTTGCGTACCTCCATTGATAAACCTCCCGAATTTCTCAAGCCATGCATCCTCTGCAACATCCCGACAGTGTTGGCGCATCACCAGCCCTGCACACATTCGGAAAAAAAAAATGCAAATGTGTCATGTCAATATCTCACACCTCCTTAGAGGGCATTCATGCACCCACGTTGGGGAATTCGCTGTCTACTGTAGATCATGCGTTGCCTAACTTTTTCGGACTCACCCCCTTCAACATCCCTAATAACTTTTTATAGTATTTGGTCAGTCCAAATTTGGTGTAGTACCACTTTGTGCCACAATTTGCCTGGCAGCACTGAGTTATAATGACCCTAGATGCAGCATAATTCAGAACAAAAAGAAATTGTTCGCCATGCGCCGTTTGCTTGTGTTGCTGCCCCGCGTGTGTTCGTTTAATCATTCCAAAAGTTATTCAATTCAAGTGTGTTTTAACGTCGGTGCGTAATTAATGACGATAATCTGACGCAATCCTACTCTTAAGTGCATATCGGAAGGCAACGGCAAAGGCCAACCTGTGCGGCTTGAATGACTACAAAGCCACTTAGCATTCGTGAGGGGAAACAAAAAGATCAACACAAGACCGACGGCAGACAAAAACAGACGGCCGGGCGGGAAAAGCCCGATGAAAGCTAAGTGCTGAAGCGTTCATGCGAAACTCATCTCCCCACTTTGTTGACAGCCTGTAACCTGCACCGCGCGTGCACACGCACACGCACACGCACGCACAAAAGTTGAACCAAAAAAAAGCCTGGGCACGCACGCACGCACAATAAATAACAAAAGAGCAAATATTTAGTACAGCAAAGCAGCAGCCACATATGCTCACGTTTTAGTTTGCTCCATTTTGCCCACAGTCTCCACTCAGATAATCTTGTTGCGTCATTCTTAAATTAGAGGATGACAATAAAAAACAATGAATGCTAATGTTAGCTTCAATGTTAGTTGTCGTGTCTTACAGCTGAACACTGTGGCATTACACTCCGGAGTCTCCACTTTGCCCACAGTCTCCACTCTGATAAATGTGTTGCATCATTGTTAACCCTTTCATGCGCCCTGTAACCTGATAGAGCCTAATGTTCGCTTCCTCAGACACTATACCTTTGATCTGACACTGCAGTATTAACACTCAAGTCACAGCTCTGAGCATTTTGCCCACAGTGTCCCCTCGGATACATTTGCTGTGCCATTGTTAAATTTGAGGATGACAACAAATAAAAACAGATGTTAACGTGAGCTTCCTCAGTTGTCATGTCTTAGATATGAACGCTGTCGTTTTCTACTCCGCAATCTCCACTTTGCTGCCCTTTGCCCTGAGTTTCATCTTGAATATAAATGTAGCGTCATTTTTTTAAATTGGAAGATGACAAAAATAAACGCATAGTTTGCTTAGCCCGCTCACAGTCTCCATTTGCCCTCAGTCTCCTCCTAGTTAAAATTGCAGAAGCATTTGAGAATACAAGTCGAGGGAAAAAATAAATAGACACAACAAGTTAGGCTCACCTTTTAGTGTCCCTTAATACCAGACACTGCACTCCACAGTCTCCACTTTGCTGCACCTTGCCCTTAATCTCTTGTGGAGTAAAATAATGGTCCTTACATTGTAAGTAAACAATTAGGAACCTGGTTCTTTGTGATTTAGTCCGGTTCTACGTGATATGTTCATTGCAAGGTGTTTTTTGATTCCCCCCCGCCCACCTCAGTGTGCCAAGTAGGGCAGTAAACAGCTGCATCCCCCGTTAAAGCCTTCAGGTGCGTTTCTGCTCAACTTCTCGCCTGGTGTAAGGACTCGACGAGCGGACGCAAAAGGCGCATAAAGAGCGTGACGATCTTCAAGATCGCAGCTTTGTTGACGGCCGCCTGCGGCGTTGCTTTCATGTGTGCTGAGCGGTCGCAAACTTCACCTGAGGGGGTGCGCAGATGGGGAGGGTGTTTAGAAAGGGTGCGCAGGTGCACTTGAAGTCATGACGAGATGAAATAAGTGGGACTGGGCACGTTGGACTTGTTCTTCGCCTCCTTATTTATTACCCACTAGTACTGAAAACTGCTTTGAAACCCTAACCCTAGTTCAAAACCTGATTTTGAAACCCTTATCCTGGTACAAAACCCTCCTTTGAAACCCTAATCTTTGTTTAGAATCCTTTTTTAAATCCCTAAACCATGTTAGGATTAGTTTAAAACCCAAAGCCAAACCCGAGACAGTAACCCAGGTTAAAACTGGAACCCCAGGTTTGAAACCCGAATCTAAAATCCTGGCCTTGGGTTTGTAACTTCAACACGAAAGCCCATCCTTTGACACAATAAAGCTACTTTGAAACTCTAAACTTACCTCAAAATTTGGCAGGTTGAAAACATAATCTTAGCTTGGAACCCGAATTTCAAGCGAGTGACCCTCATTCGAAACCCAACTAGAGAGTCACCGAGCAGCTCTGAACATTTTGTTTACCAAAGAGTCTCGCTGAGTTTAAGTCGCCTCAAGGTGTCAGTCACAAGTGGAAGAAGCTTCTTTGCTGTTTTTTTTTTTTTTTTTTTTCCCAGCCGCGCCACAAGAATGCAGATTTGCGTGGAGGAAGTCACCACCGAGATTTCAAGTTGAACCCGACGCTCGCCTCGTCTACGTGAGCGACGGGCTCGTCTGGCATCGTGCCATTGAGTCCACCTTCCGCGTGAGGGCCGCCGCCGTCGCGTCGCGTCGTGCCATCGCTCGCAAACAAACGCCGACTCGACTTCATTGGCAAGTCACACCGCCACTTTGTGACTTCCACAACCGTGCCGGACAATCCAAACCAAGCAGAGGCCGTAAGAAACTGTTTTGACAACGGCTACTTTCTAAAAAATGCGGCATTTACAGTATGCCTTTATCTCTTACCATTTTCAAGCTACAACCTTTTGAAATGTAAAAAAAAAAAAATTTTAAAAATTATGAATATTTACTAAAGGAGCCTAAAGGGTTAAAATAAAGAAAAATCAAAGATTTGTCTTTATTCCTATACTATGAGTTATTCATCTCCCCCAAAATATCTTATCGTACTCACACTTTTTTGGAGGATTTTTATTTCTGTTTGTGCTTTTCTTGGACCTTCAGCACAGACGCACACGCACCCAATTAGGCTTCAAAACAAAACGCTCATGATATATATTTTCCAAAAAATAAGAGTCGATAATAATTATCACCCGTCCTTGTCACTCGCCTTCAAAGCGCTTTGCTTAATTATGAACATGCACACGCACACACACACACACACACACACACACACACACACACACACACACACTCAGAAAGAAGTCCCTATTATTCTCTCTTTTCTTGTCGTTTTACTGACAGCATCTTTTTTTGTCTTTTTTTCTCCTCTTCCAAACACTGCCTTGCTGTTTTGGTGCACACACAAGCTTTGATCACAGCGCAAAGTTGTCAAAATGGATCATCCACAACGTAAATCTTATCATTAGTGGCTTGATTTGCATGTTTGGGATGCTTTGGATGACTTTGTTTCAGCACCGACTAACCGTCCGGTGCACGGCGCTGAGCGGAAACGGTTTGGAGTCAGCAAAAAAAAAATCCGCAAAAAAAATTCTCTAAAAATATAACTTTTCCTCAAAACAATACAACTTTTTCTTAAGGGGGGGGAAAAAAAAAAAAGCCATTCACACAAAGTCGACAAAATTAATTTGATGCTGATGATTTCTTTAATAGTTTCGTTTTCACTGTGAGCTAACGGTTGTTTCTTATTTTTTATTTTTCTTTTTTTTTTTTGCTTCCACAGACGTGACAGTTGGCATTAGCTTTGACGGCTAATCAACGGGATCACTCGCTAATAGGCTAGAACAGACCCGCGCGCTCGCGCGCACACACGACAGCAGAGGGGCCTAATTGGCTGTGATTGCGTGGCACTCGCACGCCGATTAGCGGCGTGTCGCTAACGGAGGGAAGACAACCACGAACAATGCAAATAAAGGCAAGCAGAAGCATTAAAGGGGGACCTTTATTGCAATTGCACAATGCTAATAAGAATTAGCATCAGTTTGGGGCAGTAACCGTGTACATGTACTCAACTCAACGTTCAGCGGGAGGCCATTCCATAGAGGGAAACACAGCGTTACTGTTCCATTTTCCGGTATCTCTACTTTCAGTTTGCTGAAAAACTTGTCACGTAGCATTTGACATGACATGCTAGCTTGAAGCTCGTGGACGTTTGTTTTGGCAGGTGTAAGCTCGCTCCCATTTAACACGAATGTAATTTATTTAAGTCCGAATAGGAGGATATGAATCACACTTGTTTTCACTTCACCACATGGAAAAATGTTTTTTATTTTATGTTGACAGTTTACATTTTGAAGTGACTCATTTTGTGAAATGGCATTTTTTTGATCGGGGTGTGTGTTGACTTTTTATGTCCACGTATGCCTGTGAGCGCTGTCGAATGCTCGCTTTGTATGTGTTGCTGCCCCAAGTGTGGGAGGTAGCAGCAGTTCAAAGATTTGGAATGACAGTAGCGTCGATGCTAATTTCTGCGAGCCCACCGACAGTGTTTGGCATTAAATATTAGCATTGAGCTAACAGCTTTTTGTTTGGATACAGTATGGTTTGGTTTTCTTTCATTTATTTATTATAGACTCATTTCTGTCCATTGTGTTGTTGTTTTTTCCCCATTCATTTGAATTTGAATTGTCGCATGGAAATCGTAAATAGCTTTTTTTTTTTTTTTTTTAATTTGATGTCATTAACTGTCACGATGAACACATTTTTTTTTTCAGTTGGATTTTAAATGGACGATAACGATTCCATGCGGCACGTGAATCAAGTCAACGTCAAGCCGTTGGAGCGCGACGTGTGTCGGCGTGCATGCTCTCATTTGAGAAAATGTCATGACATTTTGACCGGATAGACATTCTTCCTCCCACTGCTCGTCTACCAGAAGACGTCCGCGTCATTTATCCTCGCATGCAAATGCCGTCCGTGTAGGCGGCGGCAAGAAGGCAGACGCATCATCGACTCAAAATATTCACTCTATGTATATATAATCCCGACATTAGAAGAACTACCGACGCTGCATAAAACTCTGCAAAGTGG